CAGTATAAGAGCAAGTTGTTTGAATGCACTGTGTAGTTAATGTACATTATTACTGTGGCAGCATCTAGGAGTCCAATCATGGCCAGGATCCCATAGTGCGAGGTGCTGTACAAACACAGTACAAAAAGTCAGCGCCCTACCCCAAAGAGTTTACAATCCAGCTCTGAGACAAGAGACAGATGGAAACAGTTAGATAGGTGAGCACAAGCCAACAATGAGACAATAGTGGTCAGCATGATAACACAGTGGTCACAGCTTACCAGCTGTCAGTCTCAGTTCCAGCTGCACACCAGTCAGCTTGTTTAAAAGCACACCTGTACTGCTTGTTCACTGCGATAAGAGGCGTCAAAGGGGATATTACTCACCTTTTTCCTTTTTTGGAACCAGAGACTGTAATTTATTCCACTACTTCTCATTTCAGTAATATTTAAAAAAAAAAAATTAAAAAGCTAGTACTCAACTTTAACTATTTTTAAAAACACCTATTTAAAATGCAGTTCACTGTTTGATATCACAGAGTGTGCCAGCATATGAACTGATTTAAGAGATGATTGAGAGAGCCTTTCAATTAAACAGCAATTTTGCAATTAGGAGTGCGCATAACAATCATTTGAAAACAAGTCAAGACAAGTTAGTAATTACTCCACTAAAAGGATATATCTGCTTACATCAGAGCCTCCACTACCCCACGCAGTGCATAACATGAGATTTTCACTGTAGGCAGACGACACATGCTTAAAACTATGTTTCAGCCATTTATATAAATCTATAAGGCAGACATTTAAAATAAACTTGAGGGCCTTTTATTTTGAAAGCAGTAGTGTACTCACTATAGCAGTGTGAAAGCTCACTGATCTCCACTCTCAGGTTTACACACACAAAATTTGAGATTCTTCTGCCCATAACTTCTCCTTGACTTCTGCTTTTCTATGTGCACCCTTGAGGACCTATTAACTGAGCTAACAGTGCAACTTCTTCCACCTCTTCAGCTATTATGTTCTATTGTTTATAGTGAGAAAGTACTGTAGAGATAATAAGTTAAAACTGAGGCTACTTTCAGCTCTGGATCTTCATTATGTGTGCGACTTTAAAAAAGATTTATTGGATGTTTATTTTCCTATGTGTGTCTTGACTGCACATTAGAAAGATGAATTTTAAAAATGTAACTCTGTACTGTGTTTTCAGCTGGGTTGTGCAGTCCTCCTGTGGCAACATATAAACTAATGTGTTTTATGTTTGAAAGCATATTGATGAGAGCCAGCCTTTTCAGTTTAGACTCCTCATCCCCTTACAAAATACAATATACACTTCTTGCCCTCCCCTTCACCCTCTGCCCTGCTCCCCTATTCCAGCAGGGTTATTCAGATAAGAATTAAAATGTTGTTGATCCTTACAGCTTGCTTTAACCTGACATTACAGCCTTATAATGATGGCATCCTCTCTGCAGTGCTAGAAAGCAAAGAATACTGTGGGTCTGAACAGAAGGCATAATATTTATAAATGGGTTTTCCCAGCTGTGGTTCAGTGAAGTTGAACATTAAGTGGTAGGTGGTAGTACTATGCCAGAAAATTGGTTCATGTTCTGGAGCCTTGTAGAAAGGCTCTTCTTGGGTGTGTTAACTAACAGTGACTATCAGCACTTTTCAAGTGATTTTATATTTGAAGCCAAGTTGTAGCTTTGCCCTGAGCCCAGAGTAAGGGGCAGCATGCTCTTGCGCTGCCCCAAGAGTGGACCAGAAGAGAGTCTCAATGTGCCTCACAGGTTCCCCCACAGTCTGAGGGACAGGTACCCTGCATCTGGTCTATCTGCACAGCTAAAGCACCACACATGTGCAGTGGGAGGAGATGTAATGCCTCTGTGAAGACTGTCTCCTCCTGCACATCTACCCATGGTTCAAATAGCTAGCACATGGCTGCAGGGAGCGTTATACCCACTTAAATCATTGCACAGCTACACAAACCAGGCCACCATTGGGCCCATAGTAATGCAAATGCTATGGGGCCGATTTTGATACCCATACTCACATTAAGTAGTATCTTACTCTGCAAGTAGATCCATTGATTCCAATCAGACTATTCAAGGACTAAACTACTATTCAATGTGATTAAGGGATGAGAAAGTGGCCCTACAACAATATTATGACCTTTTACTGTGAGGTGACTGATTAAACACATACAAATAAAGGACCAGATTACAAACTTCTTACTCATGCTGGTGAACAACTACCCACCCCAAATCAGTGGGACTAGTTGGATGACTAACTGTTCATGTGTATAAGCAAGAGGTTCACAGCCTGGCCCTGTATGTGTGGATATATATGAAATACCATAGATTTTTCATGTATATGTATTTTTATCAAACCATGAATTACAGATACACAAATACTTGCTGAAGAGAATATATTACCAGGATAGATTCCCTGCATACATTAAAACTCAGTTACTAGAAGCATAAATAAGTAATGACTATTGATCTCACAATGGTAATAACCTCAAAACAGCAACCTATAATAAAATGAAAGTAAAATGTACATTGTAAAAAACTTTAATGTTCAAGTGAAGACACTAATAGCATCTCCGGAATTAAAAAGAATGATGTCCATGATTATAACACATGACTCTTTTAATCTTGTAAAATTATATTTTAAAAAAATCAGTAGGATATTGCAAGGTATCCAAATCATTAATTCAGTTCTGACCATCCAAAACCACTTACCATTTAATGCTAATTCTTTTCCAGAGGAAAGAGAACTATTTTCAATTTAGCCATGAAATTAAAACAAAGACAGAAAAAACCACCATTATTTTACCGTCTTCCCAATTCTTAAAAGAAAGAACACATAGCTATTATCTAATTTACTCAAAGATAGAAACTTTTACACCCTGAAGAGTTCTCTTCTTCATTGAATGCACAGTGTATAATCAGTTTAATTATTTACTGAACACTTTCATATTCTTTCTTCAGTTTAACACAAAGTTGATGAAAAGGACAAAGACTTTATGGCATTGGAATTCCAGTTATGGTAACCAACATGTTTTAAATTCCAGTAAAGGTTACATTTCAACAAGTGTATCTTTCCATTCACTTACTGTACCTCAGTTGATAGTATAGATACATTATTCTGAGCTGCGGTCAATGAGTTTCTTCTCCTTACACTCAAACATTCAATTTATAATCTCAGGCAATATGTTACACATACACTTGTGTATGCTCACTGCCAAAACTGCACTGCTTAATTCCTTACAGCTATAATAGCTTGAAGCTGTCCATGACATAGCCAAATGACCTTAAATCTGGAGGAAATCTAATGTTGCATAAAGCAACAATGAGAACTCATGCATTACTTTTATGGCTATATTAAAAAAACAATCCTGAACGTGAGAATGCAAAGTATCAAATTTTAACAATGAAGAAAATATGTAAAATGTTTGAACACAAATGTATTTACTGTGCTGTTTTACAGCTTTTCCTGCAGTATGTTCTACTGTAAAAGGTGTTTAGCAATACAACTCTAGTTCACAGAATTACATCAGTGTAACCAGCAAACTATTATTGCTGAAAGAGATACAGTACTGGGAAGATTACTCTGACACTTAGAAATCCACTTTGCCTTCATTTCTGTCCAAGTACATGCCTTTCCTCTTCTCAGAAAGTGTTCACTAGTTATTGCAGACACCGACTGGGGGAAAGACCTCATAGCAAGTTCAGTTAAGACAATACACGTAAGTTAACAGATCTTTCATGCTCTGCACCCACATCTCACTCCTGCTGTCCAGATGCAGCTATACGTCCCTCATTCATTAGAGGTGCATCATTTGCTAACTACGACGCTTTAGTAGAATACAAGCGGGCTGAAGGGGCTCGTAGCTCGCGAAGATCCATGGAAGACCTTCCAGTCTCCAGCAAGGAATTGAGATAGGTGATGACAGCTATCCTCACTCCCTCCATCCTTCGGCTGCAAGCTGCTGTTCAACCACCGGCCAGCAGAGGGCCACCTTTCCCACCAAAACTCTCCTCGCTCGCTCCCAACCTTCGCACCACCGCACGTACAGTGTGTGTGTTCATGGGGGCTGTTTTGTATTGCAGCCTTAATTCCGGCGTGGCTGCCGCCGCCGCCCTGTGACAGGCTCATTGCCTCAGCCCCTGCAGCAGCGCTATTGCAAGCGGTGTCCCTGAGCCAGCCCGTGGCTGCACCGCCCGGGAGCAGCTCTTTTGTGCAGGGGAATCCCCGTCCCTAGCCCACCCCCAGCCAGCCAGCCACCCTGCGCAATTCCCGACTCCATTACAGCGCACGGGGCTCTTTGCCACATGCCAGCCAGGCTCTCCCAGGGGTTGGGGCGACGGGGAAGCCCTGGCGGCCAGACATTCTTCTCGGGTCCCCCTTTGCTCTGGACCTAGCTCCGAGCAGCCGCCGGGAGACCGGATTTCATCCCCGCGCCACCCCCACCTCGGAGCAAGCCCAGCTGCGCTGCCTGTTACCTGCCAGTCACTGCCGGGCGCACGGGGCAGACAGGTGTCTGCGCGCGCCGGCGGGGCGCTCTCCCAGCCCAGCTGATCCTACAGGGAACAAAGGTGGCCTGGGGGGCTCCTGAGCGGGGAGGACCCCCTAACTAAGCCTCGCTGCGCAGCCCCGGCTCGGATCCCCCATCCGCTCCCCCATGGCCGCCCAGCCCCAGCTCCAGAACCCCCCCGGCTTCCCAGAGCCCTGGATCCCCTGCCTCCTCTTCCCCCAGCTTTAAATCCCCCCTAGCCGCGCCCTCAGGCCCCCTTCCTGCTCATGCTCCCCCCCCCGGCACTCCCCTCTGCATGGGATCCCCTCCTCTCCCCCTTCCCCGGGCTCATACTGCGCCAGGGGCTGGCTCAGGGGAAGGGGAAGCCCAGCCAGAAGTTGCCCTGGCTGCCCCCCGCCCGTGCCCAGCCCTGACACTCAACTTTCCCGGCCAGCCGGCCGCGCTGGCGGAGGAGAGTTAGTTAGTTCGGGCCAAGAGACGCCTCGTACCTTGTTGTCCACACAAAGCCTGCTCGGGTCCCTCCGGAAAGTCACATCCTCTCCCAGCCGCCCAGTCCCACCAGCCGCCTCCTGCAGCCCCAGCAACACAGGAGGCAGCTCAAGTGTCTCATCAAAGCTTTATGAAGGGTGGGAGCGCAGCAGAGTTGTTGTGAGGCTCAGATCCCCCCCCCTACCCCCACCCCCCGGCTGGTGCAGGAGCCTCTCACACAAGCCTTTGCCTTGGCTTCTTCTCACTCAGGAATTATTTAGATCTCCGTTTGGGCTTCTATTGGTCAAACTGTCTCCAGCAAGCAGCTCCAGCAAGCCCGAGACACCAGCGCTGGGTTGCTTGGCTTAAAGGAACCGCACGCCTTTTCCCTTCCATCGCAGTCTAGAGGGACAAGCCCCTCACTCAGCAAAGCACCGCCAGCCCCTCGCTCTCAACCACCCTCTCCCTAAACTTCTTGCCCTGAAGGGGTCTGATCAACAACCCCTCTGGCCCCTTTATTCTATGCTACTTAGTAACACACTCTCCAATCAGTTAATACCAGGGGGGAACCCCCAGAATTTCCCTCCCCCGGTTATTATTCTGATTCACACACTTCGGCTTCCCCAGCTGCTCACGCAGCTCTACTGCCAGCTTCTTAGTTTGCAACTTCTATGTCCCCGCTACAAGGCAAAAGTCGTGTTTGACTTTACAAAGAAACGCTGAGAAATCGAGTAATGACAACGAAGAACCACATAAAAATAAAACCCATCAGGAGCCTGCGCCTGCACCTAAATCTCTTAAAAGCGGGAGAATATTAGTTTACTTGTTAGTATATTAAACAAACCAGATCCATTTAAATATAGCTCCCTCACTGACCCCTTCATAGTTTGCTTTTAAGAATGCAATCAAGATAATAACAAGCATTGTTTATTAATGAACGCTCCAGATAACGTTACGCTAGTCACTTTCTGGAGGCACGCAGGGGCATATTTGCACAATCTAGACAGCCTAAAGACTTTCTCTGAGGCATAACAACAGACAGAAATCCAAAACCCACCTTTTGTTTTTAGTGGCTACTTGTACAAGTCAATATCAACAGCGCTGCATGTGGGACCTCTGACGAAACTCCCAAATTGGCTCTGATTTGGGGGATGTTTTTCTTCCCCCTTCAAAAATCTGTCTTGCTGGTTTCCCCCTCTGTTTATGCAGCAAATAGATTAAATTATTGATAGTGGAAATTGCATAGTGGAGGTAATAATGGCATCCCCTGACCGAGTAGCTCCATTTGATCTTGGTAAAGACAGAAAGATTTCATGCTCGCTCGCTCGCTCGCTAGGGTTAGCTCAAGCTTCATCAGACCTCTAGCGCTCTGAATGGGAGTGTGGGTGGGAAGCCACACTAGCGCTTGCTCTACACTCTTGACGTGTATGTCATATGATACCCTGGCTGCCTCTAATAGACACATTACTGCATGGATTACAAGAATCAAAATACCATGCATTGAGAATGATGCATCTTTTATTAACAGGGTTTCGTTTCAGTGCCTTACACATGTTTATGATGTTCTCACTTTAGTTGCTCCCATTTCCCCCAAAACAGGCACAGGGTGAGTTAGTTTATTTTCAAAGGGGGGAATCATCATCTCTCCCATGAGGCAAATACATTTTTAAACCTTAAGGCCTGAACCTGTTGTCACTGCAGTCAATGACAAAAGTCCCATTGACTTCAGTAGGCTCAGGCCCTTCGCCTGCTCTGCAAGGTTTTGCTTTAAAGAATGTATGTAAGTCATTTTTGCCTTCGGACAACCTGTGTGCCTTTATTATGAAACACCTGCATTTATTAGATCAGAAAAGTCATGACTATTCCAGGCTTTTGAAATTTGAGGATACCTAAGGCCTTCTACATAAAACAATGTTTGATATATGTTAAGGGGAGCAGCATGGCTTACATGTGGTTAACTTAGTTTATTTCCCTGCTATGGCTTTTAAAACTGTTTAAAAAACCTTAGTAAAGTACCACATTACAAGTCTTCTTGGACTTTTTTTTAAAAAATGTGGTTTGGCTAAAAATCTAGTAGCATATTGAAAAGGGTTCCACATTTACTGTTTCAATGATTTCCAGATCAGACTAACTCAGCCTACAAGTAAAAAAGATGGCCTTTCAAACTGCAAACCCTGCAAACTCAGCCTGGGCTCTAAAAATCATGCTCTGTTCTTTCTGTCTGGTGTATAATCACCAATAATACCAATTCCACTGGCCAAATACTGCCCTCAGCCACACCTGTACAAACCCACCCTTCATTTCTGCCCTCAAGGATATCTCTGCCACACCTGTACAACCATATTTCTCTCAGTAGTGTTGCACAGGTATAACTGAGGGCAGAATTTGCAGACAAGAGGATTGCACAGGTGACCTTCTACTGGGACTTGTTTAAATTAGTCATCAGTTAACACATCTACTTTATTTTTGAATTTTGATCACACTTTTGTGGGACCATTCACATTTACAAATATAACTGCACTAGTATGGTTGTCTCCTGCAATTAGGGACATTCATACTTAGTTATTTTTAATAATGGTTTGAACAGGACACCCATTCTTTTATATTGCACATTCAGAGCAACTAATCTGAATGATCTACCAGTCAAATGTAATCGCAGCAGGCTATTGAAAGGTTATATTAGTGATAATTTAATTCATCTATTTTATTTCTACACTGAGATCCCTTCCCTTAAATGCAATGCATGTGCACATGAACAGTATCAAGAATCTTGGGTTAGGGACACTGAAGCATCTATTAACTGTTGTCTGGAAGTGGTGGTGGTAGCAGGGATACTGTAAGACATTTGTGAAAATGGTGACTGCCCTACATTAACATTGAGGGGCTAAACTATGTTGAGTCAAACAATTTTTGAAAACAATTCAAGGGCTCATCTGCACAGCAATTTTTCCATGTTGTGGGGCTGGTTTGATAGGACACTATAGATTCCCAGCTGTTATAACATGCTTTGGCCTTGTCTTTATAGGTAGGACCAGTATTTTTAACCTGGGTAATGAACCATGTTACAGCCATTTAAAAACTATGGGATCATTAATCATGATACATTAATTTGAACTGTGCTCTGGTGGTGAAAAAGGATCATAAAGCTGATTTAACCAGGCATCCGAGGATTCCCCCAGCATGCAGGAATCTCCAGGTGGCTCTGCCATCCCCATTCAGCCTTCTGCCATGGCTTAGGGACATACCTGGGGGACAAGGCATGGTCAGAGTACCACTGTGCTCTGACAATGCTTATCTGGCATAACCAGCCCCTTGGGGATCATTACCAGCCAGCCTTTGGAGGCCCTGCTGGGGAAATGAAAATAATGCTCTATCTGGGTTTCAATATTAAAGTTTACCATACAGTCTATGTTCCTGATTTTCCAGGCTTTGACATTACCTTCAACGTGAGCTTTGCATGAGCAAGCATGAAGGATCGGGCCCATAATTTATTAGATTTTTTGAAACAACACTCAGAATACAAAGGCAGTCCCATGGGCAAATCTACCCATCATTCTTAGATGTTCTGTCAGCTTTATGAAATATATAGCCTACTGCCTACAAAATTCCTATTGCAAGGATTATACCTCCTGAGATTTCCCACTGACTCCCAGGTGAACCCATAAAGAGCACTCTTATTGCATTTTCACCTCACTATCATCTGAAAAATGATGTCTCATAACCTAACAGTGTCAGGTGAATACATTTTTCCCCAGTGGGGTTTTACAGGCAACAGCATACAGAGGGTATTTCAAACAAAAAGCAAAAATGCAGGCTGTATGGAAAGGAACAAAGCGATAAGAAATTATTTCCATATCAGATAAACTTTACTTTCAATCAATTTGCCATATCTAGTGTTCTCCAAGGCTCTTGGAATCATTATCATGGCACATCAACAGATACAAAGTTTATTTTGAAACTGCCAGTCTTTTGCCCCCTAAATAATTAAACTGGTTTTTCGTGTACATGAAATAAACTTCTCTCTCTTTTTTTTATTCAACAAAAGAGAAAGAAAGTACAAATAAGGGTTGTCAATCAATGTAATGTTGATTTATCCCTGCAGCAACAGGAGATTGCAAAGATCAGTGCTGTCTTGCTGACTTAAATTTAAACTATACCATAGGCACTAATGATGCAGTAGATAGCACATAGAAGAAGCAGAAGCATGCACTTCTGGTTTCTGTCTTTGCTGGGGTTCTGAATTAAACTGATTGATCTATCAGGACCAAACCCTAAAAGACTGTAATTATATGATACAGTAGTTTGAAGAGTTCTTAAACTTCCCTTTCACAATGTTAACGGAAGCAGTAAAACTCCAAAATTTAAAAGGAATAATCTTTTTTCAAAAATTCTGTATTTAACCAACACAGTAGGTTTTTGAGTCTTTTTTCTCAACAAAACTTTTCTTGCTATCTTTATACCATCTGTTTTATTAGCATAACATTATCCCAACCTGTTTTTCGAAGAGAAAAAGGTCAAGAAGCAACCATTTGGATTCCCATCTCTCCTTGTTGTCAGGAAATATAAACTAATCCTGATTATACAAATGAGAATGATGTCAATGTACTCAGGTTTTGACACCAGAGTATTTTTTTCTATTAATAATTTTAATTGGCTGAGGTCAGTACTAATATCACTACAAGTATTTTATGTTTAATTATGTTTATTCACGTCTCCTAGTTACCTATCTTTGCTACTTTTTTTCAGAATAAAGGAATGGAAAGTTGATCAAAATCAACTCAAGCGATGCTAAAAATCACAATGGGCTATAAACATAGTTTGAGTTTGCAGACAAGCCATATTTGTCATAGAATGACTGAATATTGACTCTGTTGTATGACTACGTGTCAATCAGTGCACAGAAAATGCAGCAATTTAGGGTTCCAGAGCTTGATCCTGAAAGTGAGCGGGAAGGTTCTAAGCGCCCTCATATTGCACTTTGCACATGCACAGCACCTTGCAGGATTGAGCCTACATTTGTTTCAGCTATATAAATTCTGAGCAACCAGACTTCATGCAAATGAAATGACCAAGCTGTACTCACTATAGAACACAAGGG